GTGGGGGGGGCGGGTTGGACAAACATTGCTGGTTTATCAGTGTTTCAGCTTCATGTGATGATGTTTGAGGGGCCTTTTCTCACCTGGGAAACCTGGAAAAGTTTTGGCTTTCATGCTGGTTTTAAGGAGGCTGATTGTGATGTTGGACTGCCTGTTTGGATCTGAGGAGGATTTTCCCATGGCCTCAAACCGGCTGACTTTCAGCTGGACTCGGGTTTAAATCCAGAGGCTTCTTCCTCCCACTAGACTCGCTAAGGACTGGACCGAGAGGCCCCTGCTGGGCTCCTCAGCCTGGAAACATCTCAGACGGGCTCTGACTGAATTGGAGCTTTTTTAATCCATAGTTGCTTTCACCCCAGTTGGACTAATGTGGACTGAAGTGGTCGGTTTCAGAGTCGGGAGCTCTGAGTCCCTCCTGCGTGGGGTCCCGGTCGGGAGGATCTCACAACGTGGGTTTGAGTCGTTCTGAGGAAATGAGAGTTGAGATGTGGGCATTTCAGTAGCTGTGAGGCTTTGGGGGCTTTTTGCATCCTGTTTGATTTACGGCAGACGGTCCTGGGAAACCTGGAAAGTCATGGATTGTTTTTATGTGCAGCTGAGGACGTCAGACGGTGGTTCTGAGCCCTGGAGCTGCATCCGAGTCTGCTTTCTGTGTGGTTTCTGTTTGCTGGGGAGGCAGAAGGCCTTATGAACTGACGCCAAACAGAGGGAATCTGTCAGCCTCTTCCTATAAATCTTCCTATAAATATGTCTGAACAGAATAAAGAGTTTCTAAGCCGGTTTGTGGGGAAACCTGTGGATGTCAGAGCTTTAAGGTTGATCCGTCCTCCTCAGCATCACCTTATAAACGTTCAGATCAGTCAGAAAATGATCGTTTTCTGCTTAATTCAGAGGGTTTAATACATTTTCTTCTTTAGGAAAGTCTCACACAGGAACAGACACTAAAAGTTCCGTCAGTGAGGATGTAAAACTAAAGAGTAAAAACCAGAGAAGGTTCCTGGATGTGATGAGGCGACCCTCCTGCAGCGTCGCTGAGGAGCTTTTTGGTTGTTTTGCTGTTTTCTGAGCTGATGTTTACATCTGTAGGGGGTGGCTGCCTCTGATTGGCTGGTACTCCTGATGGGGGCGGGGCTGGACATCTGTTTCCAAACTGTTAAAGGAGCTAAGCAGTCTGAGGATTCCCGGCTGGTGGTCTGACTGAAGCCGACCGGGTTAGGGTCCAGACCTGGTAAAGGCCTGTCAGGACCCGGGTAAGATCTGGTTAGGGTCCAGATCTGGTCAGGGTCCTGCTTTTTTATTTTTTTATTTTTTATTTTTTAAACTAAAATGGAGCTTCAGAGGTCAG